TCTTAACCATTAAGTTTACAAGCATATTATAAACTCATAATGCCCCAGCTCCCAGTTGGCTTGATAGCTCAGTTGGTAGAGCACTGCACTGGTATTGCAGAGGTCAAGAGTTCAAATCCTGTTCAAGGCTTTAATTTCACAGCTGCTTAAGTTGTGTATAGAATTGGGATGAAAAGTTATATCTTCATATCTTTCTCCGGAGTTCAAATATATGATCTTTCATAGACTCACTCGATGAGGAATGTTTCGAATAAAACTTTGTGGAACGATCAGCCTTTGTCTTAATCTATATTTACACATCTCATATTACATAATGGAGTACTTAATAAATGTTATATCGCCTTTAGACTAAGACTCATCTACAATAAACATTAGATCTGTTAAGTGCTAAGATTGTTGTATCTCGCATCTATCATTACCACATTTACTTTCTTAGCATTGTTACTTTTGGAGGGTCACTTATGGGCTATTCCATAGATCTGAATTACCTGTAAGACCTTTCAGATGAAAAAGTCAAATTTCAGTAGGATGACTTGAATGTTGCCCACTACCCTACACATTTTGGCTTGTAAAGCCCCTTTATTATGTGTATACAGACTATAAATTATAGCCCCTTCTGATATGACTAAAATGTGATAATGTTCCCCCCAGAAACTCACAAAAAAGTCACCAGCAAGTCAGATTCGCTAAATCTTTTCACACTTTCCTGTCTAAAGGCTCAGAAATTTTGCTATACCCCTTCAGATTTTTCTGCTGTTTGTTCTGGGTGTATATTCTAGATTTAACAATACGTGCAAAATTTTATCATTAATTTCAAAGGTCACAATTTTCAGGGGCCATTACCTTGGGAAATTTAAAATACTAATTCCTATTATCAGGATTAAATAATACATAATTTCTGACAAACCTTGCTTGGAGATCTGAATTGTCCCTTAGAATTCCCTGAAGAAAAACAAATTAAAAAACCAGTGAGACAATCTCATATAGTCCAGAGTGCAATTTACAGCTCTGATACAGTAGTCACACAGGTCCTCACCCCTGCTGTTCTCTCCCTTGGGAGTCAACTAGGCCCTTTTTCCTTATGAACGGACAAAAATTTTTAAAACATAATCTTAGCAGTGTGTTTCATGTTGTATTTTCTTTCAAGGCCCAAAAACAACTTACAATTAGCGTTTGCCAAGACAGTTTTAAATTTTATCGCGGTATTTTACGTTGGGTTCTGTTCATTTTAAATTCAGTAATATGTAAGAGCAGCAAATGTGACAATTTTACTTTTCACGCCAACGTTTGTAGCTTCAGATACTTTTGTTTTCCTTGCCAATGTATGCAACAAGATACCTTTGTTTCCTTGAAAATATATGAAAGATGTGTATTTTTTTTTTTTACTCACTGCTGGAGATAAATGGAATATGTAAGTTAAATATCTGCTGAAAAGTCAAGGAGGAACAATTTTGTTTTATTCAAAATCACTGATAAACAAGAACTAATCTAATTATCAAATAGTTACGTCGAGTCATGGAATAGCACATTCTTATTCTGTTGCCAGCTTTAGTGTTAACAATAAAGCCACATCAAACTAATACACAATGCTATCTAGTAATACAACTGAGGAGTGTTTCAAGGAGTAGTATTGAAGGTAAAGATTGTTACTTGACCGAAACAAACATTAAAGTTTACACCTCATTGTGTTAGTGCCTTAGCGCAGAGTGAACTGCAGCCCCACAAACCATCCCAATAATGCCCTCTGCACTAAAAATGAAGAGTCTGAAGAACATTGAAAAAGAGCCAGTATGTTAATGCTTGTTGTTAGCACTTATTAGCATTTGTTGGTGTTTGTAAGTGTTTTAGAGTGTTTTGTTGGCATCAGTGGTTAGTTTTTAAGGACACTCGCATAAAAATTTCCCAGTCAATAGGTTTTTTTTAGTTTTTACTGCAGTCAGATAATGAGTTACTTGTGCCAGAAATGCAAAAAAAATTGGGGTCACCGACTTCATTTCAGAGATAAAACATGTGGAAGACTACCAGTGAGACGATCTCAGATAGTGCAGAGTGCAATTTACGGCTCTGATACAGTAGTCAGAAGGGAGAGAACAGCAGGGGTGAGGACCTGTGTGACTACTGTATCAGAGCCGTAAATGGCACTCTGCACTATCCGATTTTGAAAAATTGGCGCGTGTAATTCAGCATGGTCTACAAGGTTTTGTAGTTAAAAAAATTGAAGGTGAGTCAACGGAGGCAAATGATCTTAGTCATATTTTGTAGAAGTGGGTCTGTCACATAAATAATTCCAAATGTTACCAACGTTTTCACAAAACTTAACCCTTTAAGAGGCATTTGAAACCGTTTTTTGGCAGTTGGGGCTTCCAGGCATGTCTTGGTATGTATTCCTGTGGTTAGTGGCCCTTTAGGGTCCATTCCACCACTGAAGGCTGGGTTCCAGTCTTAGCAACAGTCAGCGGCCTTCTCTGTGGCTTAGGTTTTAATCGCATCGTGCTCAAATTACAGTTTACCTCGTGTGTTGCATTGTACCAGGCGGGTGTTTGTGCATTCTTTGTGTCTTTTATGATTTTTTCCTTTCCTTCTCATCATTGTGGAATTGCGTGGCTGTGTTGCTTGCCTTAATTTTGGTTTTTGTTGCTGTTCTTTGTGGCAAGCATCCTTGTGTTGTTGTCCTGTTGCACGATGGTTANTTCATTCACGGTACAATTTGGAATTATCTGCGGTTCGGGGATCATTTACGGGCCTGTATATACGTATAGCGATGTTTCCCGTGACGTCACCCCTAGGTCACGTGGGGTTGTTGATTTCTGTGGTTGGCAAAAACACGACGTGGCTTGATGTTTCTTTCTAAATTTACTGCCTAAGAAAGGGGTTCGTGGAGAGAATGTCGGTGAGCTGCTGCGTGATAAATTGTACAAATAGGTTCACAAATGCATCGGGAATAATTTTTTTAGATTTCCTGAAAGTAAACCAAAGCGGGCCGCATGGATCAATGCAGTTCGTAGGAAGGATTGGACGCCGTCCGAGTACTCGCGAGTCCGCATCGTGCGGCTGATCGTTAATTCTCTGGGACTGAAGTACTTTCCCTTTAATGAAGCAGTAAGGGATATTGTCTCCACCTGAATGACACCACCAATGGTTTAACGTGGCCACTGATGACAAATTGATACGCTTCAAGCGACTTAAAGGATTTTAGACTCTCCTTCGTGTAAATTCCCGGCGTTTCGATTAAATACGTGTACAGATCCCCAAATGTTAAATCTGGCCAAGAAATGGGATTATTTGTCCATCCTTTCAAATTGTATGGGTCGGGAAGGCCACCTGCACCTTTGTCGTAGCTTAATTTAAAATGATTTCACGATCTTGCGACAGGATCGAGACTTTTTACCTAATCGGAATCGCACTTGGGAAGCCATGAAAACAAAACGAAGCCAGCTTTTTGCCAACCACTAAAGTGCGCATGTCTAAGAATGACGTCAATGTTTATAAACAAGAAACATCGCTATAGTTCTGCTTCGTTCTCATCATCGTGCGTGTAACGTGGGTACCCGCACGGATAGGTATTGAAGGTCAGGTCCATTATGCGTTTGTTGAAGACCAAATGGTACTTTTTGGCTTCTGTTTTTGTCTCGAGGGCATAGCGTTTGGTGTCCCTCACGATGTGACCAGTTTTGGGTCAGGTCAATTTGGCAAGGAGTCACAGCTGAGTTGGCAGGAGCTTTCACTGTTGAGTGAAATACCGCAGACATTGCATTCTTTCTCTCCACTCTCGGTGATGTTTCCCAATTCTCTGAAATGGACTTACCAGAAGCCATCATTTCCAAAAGAAACTAAGTCCTGATCTAGCCTATATGTCTACTCCTGTTAGTATCTCACCTCTCCACTGATGGTTCCAGAACCCATGAGGTCTCCAGGCCGAACGTTACATCCTGTCACAGTATGATGAACCAACTGTTGTTTGGGTGTCCAATACATATGCTGAGATAAAACCAAGTATCATTTTTGGTTACATACCATAGAAGATAAAAATTGGGTATGTTGAAATGTAAGAAAGTAAAGAAAGAATTTAAATAAGGAAAACGTTTTTTGAAATAAGTCATTATGTGCAGTGCCAAAGCCAAATTATAAATTGAGGAGGGGTTAAAAACATTTCAGTAATCAGATGTAAAGATTCCCTAAGTCTACTTATTTGCCCGTTGATGACATTTGTTAACAACACTTTTTGGCGGGAAGATGAAACCGATTTCTTTGATGTTTGGCACCCTAAATATAGAATGTACGAATTTTAAGAAAATCTAATTAATTAATTTGTTTTGAGAGTAAAACCATCGGTAAAAACAACAAACTTTATTGACTGTTAAAAAACGTCTTTTCTAAGGTCTTCACGTTTAATGTAAATATCACTATACAAAGTAATAGTTGAAGTGATTTTTTCACACACCTTCAAATTGGTCGAACAGATAGTCACAGGAGTTTTTGCTCCTTCATCTAAGAAAACAAAAAAGGTGTTTGCACAAGTCACAGTAATTCTAACTGAGAACTTGAAGTGCTGTTTTATATAACAAAGACATCTTAAATGTCTTAAATAGCCAGTAGCTATATTTGCACTATACCAGTCGTTGGGGACGAGATAAAAAAATTCAAAAAAAGATTGGTTTGATTGATTTGTTTTTGCTATTCCTGATTAAATTTTGCACGGGTCATTCAAAGATCAGGCAAAACACTAAGATGTCAATTGACTCAATATAATTGAGGTAATAGCTTTTACAACTTCATCAACAATAAGTTTACATACAATCTAAGCCAACTTCAAGCCTGACATCAAAGGTATAAGGATCAGAGTGTTGAAGATAAGGCAAAGGGACAGGATCCTAAGAATGGAATGAAAAACAACACGAGACAAAGTTATCACAGTCATTAATAATTCATTTCCGTTCCAGTTGAATTTCCTCCTGGAACTTTCGACTAAATAGTTCACGTTTTGGAAATTCAACAAATTACAGATTGTTCGGTTGATTGGAAAGCACCTGGTGTTTGGATGTGTGCAAAGATTTTCGTGATTTTATTTCTCCGTTTTCTCCTCAGTTTTAGTTTCAAATGAGAAGACCAGTAAATACTCGCGATAGTGGTTTACCACATTTCCAAACAGCTCAAAATTCATTAAAACTCTTCTAGGTGTCTGGAAATTTGGTAAAACACGATCTCTCATCTTTGACAAGAAGTATTACTTCTCAATTTCATTCATTTTAAGACAAAAAAGTCATAACAGCTACCATGACAGTGTGTGGAAATGACAAATTGTGGTCTTAATTAGGATAGAAGTTGCTGTCGCAGATTTGTTTCTCTCCATTTTATCCATAATTTTAGTTGACAAGGGAGAGTATCCTCAAAATTCTTCAAATACTCCGCTGTGTATCTCAGTATTTGAAGATGTGGTGAAAGGCTGTCTGTGGGGTTTGAAACATGTATGTGTATGAAATACACTTTGATATATAGAAGTCATATCATTTCAAATACCTGACTTACACTAACATTGTCAGTTAGTTTAGAAACAGTGACTAAGTGAAGAAATCTTTGTTTGACACATTAAACTCACCATCAGGCATAAGAGGGGGTAAATTTATATCTGTTTACAACGTAACAGCTCAATACTGTGCTTCGTTTGAAAACCAGCGTATTTTGAATTTCAGAGTTATGGCGGTGCGTGACACAAAGCTACAACCGCATTTGTCGAAAAATATATACCTCTCTCATGATTTTTAGCTTTTTTAGACGTTAGATCATTAGGAAAAGGGCTTATTTAAATGTTTGTTTGTTCAGTACAGATAATCAGTCGCCTAGATAGCCAAAGTAAGTTCCAGATATTTACACTATTTTCCGGCCGCCATACTGGTGCACCACAGAGGTGCACCAACATGGCGTTTCAATACTGGGCTCTGTAAATTTCTGCGAAGCATTTAGACAAATATCTGCAGTCTGGGAAAACGCACAAACCTAAAACTTGAAGAAGTGTCTTCTCTATCTATTTCCTATAAGATCACAATTTCTTGACTTTATCCACTGAATAGTTTTCGATGTATTTTTTTATTGCGTGACGGAGAAAACGATCTATACACTCACATTTAGGAAACCTATTCAGCAATGTGTGCTTTGCCCAAATACAATCGTTTGTTACTAATAATTACTGGGCTGAGTGGGGTGAAATTCAGTAATCTCTACCTGAGTTGTATGTCCCGAAGACCACTTCAATATAACAATAATTTTGCATCAATAACATCAATCTACATTTATAGGAAGTCTACACAATATTTGACTGTCCGTAAAACTATACAGTACAAAAGAGGCCTCTGACCTGCAGTGGATTAGCTAGAGCAAAATCTTGAAGAGCATCCATGGTTACCACCCAAGGGGAGATTGTAGTTGAAAAATTCTTCGCTAGAAATGGACCCAGTGGTACATACTCCCATTTTTGAATATCACGAGCTAGGAAAGATTAACAACAAGAGGGAGAGATTTTCAATGTAAAGGACAAGTAAAATACTATTGTTATGATTCAATTTAGCACCCAAATGCTATTTATTTCATATAGCTCAAGGGAGGAGAGCGGGCACTTCTTAGGGATGATGAGCAGATTTCTGTTTGGGCATAAACGTCAGAATGTGATACAGCACTTACTGTGATATAAACACTAAAGAACAATACACCCCTGTCTTGTTTATTCCATGGCATTCTGTTAAATATTGTGTTCATCTTTATTGGAAGGGGCTATTATTGGGACAGGGGCGAATATTAGAAGGCGGGCCCTAAATTGAATCACTAAGTAATTTTTTACTGGCTCAGAAATGTAAAACTTGTAGTCCAATACAGTATTCTGCAGTACTTCAAAACAGGTTAATTTAAATACCTGCTTGTACACAATGGATTGTAGCAGTGTCGGTTTAGAGACAACCATCGGCCAAGTTATTTTATTTCTTAGTCTTTGAGACATGCTATTTGTCAGCGGTTACTAGCATAACATAAAGGTGGCTCAATCGGATTTTTGAGCAACAATACTGTTCAACTTTGAGTGACTAGAGTACCACCATTATCAATCCAACAGACACCAGAATGTTTCTGGTTTTCTAAAGAAAGTTAACGTTTCGAATGACATACGTTTAATCGAGATCTGAGTTACCATGGCAACATAATTTGAGCCTGATGTATTAAATACTTTTTGTGCAACACAGGTTTAAAACTAAAACATAATTTTGAAATAAAATGAATTTTCGAGTTTCTCACGACTACTTAATGTGAGCGTCCAAATCATCTTTTGAAAGCTACAGGTGAAAGGAAATTTTGTTGTTAGTCAATTTAATTGGTTCCTCAGTCTCCGTGTCTGGGGTTTTGCTATATTCAATTGCAGAGAAAAGGAACATTTTTGAAATAGGACTAAAAAAAATGCGGAGTGATCCTGCCAAAATCGCCTAAGCTGTGTATTACACTGTGATAAAACACGACGGGCATTTGAGAACACGAGGGAAATGTAGAAAACACGAGCAGTATTGGATCAATGTTAAGGAGCAATTTCGTGTACGTTTCATGACAAAGGCACCTATATTTAGTCGACAGTGATTCAATATGTTCCAAGCACACAGTGTTCTTGAGGACAAATATCATCTTTTACGAGTGCTAGCTCATTTTCAGTGATAATTTGTTACTCTGCAATGGAAATTGGTCTATATTCACTGTATGGAAAGAAGGTGATCGCTGCATTCATACTAAATAAAAAAATCGTTAGTTCCCGGTACTCGTTTCCGAGAAGAAACGAGGATTTGTCTCTCGCAAGCCAAGCCGTTTAGAAAAAGCCACCATTTTGTATATGTTGTGAATATGCACGCGTTCGTGAGTGCGCACTAATGACGCGAAAATCGTGCGCAGTAGGGATGCGCAATGCAATTCTGAGGAATAACCTTAACATCAGTTAAAATAAACACATAACCTTGCTTTCCGACACGAATGTTCCAGTCCGTTTCAGGGCACAGCAGCGAGCAAAGTATAGCTCACTACAGCTCACGGCCAACTGTATCGCAGCTATAAGGTGTCTCCGACAATATATCAAACTGATTTGAGAACCACCAACTACAGAGGACACAAATTTCCACCGTGACTAACGGCCCTTTCATTGAAAACTCGAATCGAATGGCCTCCAGTGTTGACCGCAACCACAAGTTTCCCGAGCGTACTTTTCAACTCCTGCAAAATTCAAGGCAAATTCAAAATTCAAAACTGACTTGATATTTCCAGTATTTCCGGTAACATTTGCAGATTTCGCAGTTCAATTCTGCCTGCTGCCTTTTTGTTCTTACCACATTTTGACGTTATCTATGATCTGTTACTGAACAGANGACAAGCTCTGCCAACCTCTCATCTGCCAATTTTGTTGACGGAGAGGAGATCTGGAACAGTGTTATTCTGATTGGTTGAATTCTTGGGCTTATGCTTGGGCTTATCTCAGACCAGTTCCCACTAGTGAAATAAGCGTAATAAGCATAAGTGCAAGCACAAGAAAAAGGAAAATGTTTCTTTTTCTTGTGCTTATGCTTATTCTTATTCTACCTCAGTGCACATTAACATTTTCTTGTGCTTATGCTTGTGCTTATGCTTGTGCTTATCTCACAAGTGTGAACCAGGCTTACAGGTGTATAACCTAAACTAGAAGGAGATATCAAGAGTAACACTAGTACTTACTATCATCAGGCCTGGTCTGTCCAACAGGGCGTCGCACTGGAGTACCTGACACTATGACAGAAGATGCTCTACCATGGTATCCAACTGGTAAATGAATCCTGCCAGGTTTACATTTAATGTCACCTTCAATCTACAATGTAGGCAGCTGTCCATGTATTGGCATCTGCTTTATTTTAACATTATTAAGTATAATATTATAACAGTTGGACCCTACAAATTTAAACTTTCAAAGAATGAATATGTCTTAAATGTTTGGGCAAGAGATCTCCTAGTCTTTTTCCAGTCTCATCAATGTCTAGCATTTTGTATAGCATGTCATCAATTAGTTACATCTGAAAAGTCAACTGTTAAACTGCAGTCATCAGCAATATGCTTGCTACCCAGACAATAAATAACTTTTGATCTTAAGTGATGGTAGCAATTGTAATGATGTTTCTTAAATTAATTCTATTTAAAATGTAGTTTTGTAATCATCATTGATAATAAATGTTATTTGTATAATTTATTGTGACAGTGATGCAATAGATTTTAGAGTGGTTTTTAATCAAGTGTTATAAAACCAAACCCAGTTTTATAAACATTNTGTCCTGTTGCACGATGGTTAAGCCTCACTCAACTAACAACAGCCTGGCTGCTGGTGTTGTCTCTTCTGCCACGCCGTTAACCACTGTTGTTATCATGCATCGCTCGATAGCTTCACCGATAGCTTGATTGCCAAAAGCTTCACTGAGCATTTCTACTGATGCGATCGCTGAGGCCGTGGCTCATGCACTTGCCATCTGAACTTTCAGGCATCCTCTCACATTACAACCGAGCACCGCCCCCTCCTCAAGCTTGTCCATGTTGGCTGCTGGCATTTCTTCCCAGGCAGTTCCAGAAAACAATCATCCAGCCACGTCAGCCCAGTCCAGCATGGTGGTCTCATCTAGTCTTGAAAAACTTGTAGTCATAACACAGGTAGACTCTCCCACTTATGAGTACTTAGACGTCCATGTCCACCATAACCACCCCAAGCACGGCTCTGCAACGGGGTCCTATTCCCTCATTGATTGCGTCAGGTATTTGGTTCAGTACAGTGCTACCAGTCAGGGCTCGACACTAACTTTTCAACTTACTAGCCAAGTGGCTAGTGACTACTAAGATGTTACTGACCAAACACATTCTTTTACCAGCCAAGCCTTGAGGCTGGCTACCTTATTACATGAAATTTTTGCAACACGTTTATTTCGCGATTTGAGGGTGTGCATATTTCGCAACACTTAAATTCGCTATTTTGCAAACATTTGCATTTTGAATCACTTTAACCTTGCATTTTTGAGTAACACAAAATTTGTTTCCTTGGTAATGTTACTTAAACATATCTTTGAATTTAGTAAACTGACTTTATCAAAGGTACAATAACGTCAGTTTCTCTATTGGGTACATCTAATTGTATCACAGACACAGACACAGTCAGAGACACAGACACAGACACACATACGCACACTATAAAATTTATTATGTATAATAACTGCCTTACATACCTCATCTCTTGATAAAAGACGCTGTAATGTGCACCTTGTCTCTTTCCATGCTTCTTTTCCAAGACCCATGAAGGCATTTAGTGTTTGCTAAAAGTAATATGATATGGGCTCATTTAGATGACCAGTACAACTTTTCCATGACAACTTTTCCACGTGGGACTAGCTTATATTTAAGTGTACAATGCAAACTGCTTCATGTGAATCAAACCAGGTTTGATTTACATAGAAAAAAACTCAAAAAAACTCAAGACATGTTGTACAATTGCTGTAAGTTTGCAATGCAATGCAAGGTAACACCGACACCTTTGCCCATAAAAAGGTCACAGTGATGTAATACACCTAGGGTTTATGTTAATGGTTAGCTATGATTTAACATGTAATTTCTGATTCCTGATTGTCAAAAGTACAAAATTCCAATTATACAAAAGTTCAGTTTACGTCTTTGCAAGCGTCCATGACAACCAGAGAGATAGTAGAGAATGCAATAAAAAAAAATATGATTGGAGCAAGAGGTATAATGATTCCATTTTTCTGATACTTGTATGTTGTTTTTATGTTTCCTCTGATTGTGCTGTTATTATCCGGATCATAGCCTTTTGTACCTTTTAGCACATTTTTAAGCGTTTTTTTTTTGGCATACAAGATGTAATGTTATTGTACAATCTTAATATGTTTTCCAATGTATTAGGCATTTGCTATATTAAATATATTCAGTTTTTATGTGATTCCAAGTGGATTATTAAAAATTGACAATTAGAAGGAAAGAATACTTGGTTTCGCAGTCAATGGCTTTCTCCGGCCCTAAATAGATGACATGAAACGAAACCTACTACAGTAAAAACTCTTCAGAACATTAAACAGCTAAACATTACCATTTGCTTTTAGATGCTTCGACTTAATCTAAGATATTTGTAGTTTGAATTCAAACGAAATGAAGCCCAGTGATAAGGAAGACATCCACGAAAGCATTTGGACACGAAAACAGACTGCGAAGACAGCTAAATAACGTTGACAACTGCCTCACCAATCCAGAAGAATCATCAGTCTTACAAATGAGAGAATGCTCTTGGAGACGAAATTGGAGATCCTAATCTCGGTTCAAGAGTGGCTCAAAACTGCACTAGAGAAAGATTCAGTAGTGAAGTATGTGGCCCTAGAGAAATTTGAAACCTGAACACGTGAACATTCCAATGTGCCTAGAAGAGTTAACACTGGATTACAAGAGATTTTGCAAGAAAAAAGACATTCCCAATTCAGTTGTGCTAGAACCTTGGAACATAGACCATCTACTAGAACATCCAGTTTGTTCACTGTGGATAGAAAGGCTGAGACCACAGTGAAAATTACAAAATTAAAAACAGAGCTTATGTTTATTTAAGCTCAAACAAAAAGAACGGGCAGCTGCCCTTACTGAGCAAGAGGATGAGCTTTGAAAATTAAAGTTCACTAGGGAGTTAGACGTTGCCAAGTCCAAAATAGATGCTATGAACAACAGTGGTGAAATGCATTCCTGGGTAGTACAAGAGAGGGAAATTTCTACATGGGAAGTACTGGATTTGTTCTCGAAATTGACTTTTCACATGGATAAAATCATTCAAAGGTTTTAAGAAAAAATGCACATGTATACTGAACTCTATCAGTCTTAAAAAAGATGACCTTAAATGTCTTAGAGAAAACTAGAAATGATTTCCTGATTCAGTATTCTCTCAAGACCAGTCAACAGTTTAACCAAACTACAGTAACTGTTATAAAAATCGAAGTACAGTGTTTGGCATGGTCAACATATCCCCTTTTCATTCTAAGTCAAATCCAAGTTCTTTTAGCTTTGATTTCAGCCAAGGTATCACCTACCAAAGTCCAAACCCTCGTTCAAGTCGTGGCAGGTGGGCAACAGGTCAAGTAGAGGATTGCTAGACAGGGTGAAGTATGGCAGCAGATCTGTTCCTCCAGGCTGCCAAAGTAGCCACAGAGGCCTGTCTAGAAGCTTGAAAAACACCTTGCTAATGGCACAGTGGTGAAGATAGATGGGCCTATCACCTGTTTAGTGGATAAAGCTGATTACAAAAACCTTACAAGGAAGCCTCAAGACTCAACTAGCTTAGGGAGGAGGTGTCTCACCTATGTCTATGACGTAACATAGCCAAACCCGAAGGGAAGCTACCTCGCTGATCCCCTTTCTCACGCCCAAGGCAAACACCATGTTCGGAACGTGGAATGTTAGGACAATGTACAAAACTGAAAAGGCTGTGTATGTTGCAATGGAAATGCAAGCATATAAATTGGCACTCCTAGGTCTACGTGAGACAAGATGGATTCAAGCTGGATGAGTGAAATTAGTTAATGGGGAGATGATTATCTCTTCAGGCCATGGAGAGGACATTGCCCCACACATGAAGGGTGTAGCTTTCATGTTATCAAAGGAAGCAACCAAGTCGCTGATAGAATGGGAGCCTGTATCTTCCAGGACAATCAAGACCAGATTTCACAACAAGGTGCAGAGGGTCACTGTAATCCAGTGTTATACTACAGCGAATGATGCCCAGGAGGACTGTAAAAATGGCTTCTATGAAAGATTGCAGGCAGAAATCGACAAACAAGCTAAAAGAGATGTAGCACTGTTGATGGGAGACTTCAATGCTAAGATAGGCAGTGACAACACTGGACAGGAACAGTCAATGGGGAAGCATGGCCTTGTGGAAATGAATGAAAATGGAGAGGTGTTCAGTGATTTCCGTGCCTTCAACAACATGATCATTGGCAGAAGTGTGTACCCTCACAAAAGGGTCTACAAGATAACCTGGGGATCTCCCAATCATGCAACCAAACATCAGATAGACCACATATGCATCAGCCATAGGTTCCGCAGGTCACTCCTTGATGTCAGGTTAGGAGGGGGAGCTAATGCTGCTTCAAACCATCACCTTATAACAGGGGAGTTCCAGTTCAAGTTGAAAGCTGCATTCAACAAAGGGGCAATGAGAACAAGTCATTGACACAATGTAGAGCTGCTGCAGGACCCAGATACCAGAACAAAGTACCAAATCAACATCTTAAACTCATTAATAATTCATCAAGATTAGACAAAGGAAGTCAAGAAAGTGACAGTGTTTGTACATCTGATCTTAATTAGCATAGATTTTTACAATTTTATTTCTCTGTTTCCTCCTTAATTTTAGTTTCGATTCAGAAGATATATCAAACACTCAAGACAGTATTTGACCACATTTCCAAACACCTTGAAGCTCATAAAAAATACTCCACTGCACGTCGTATTTTCAACTCTCTTCTCAGTGTTTGGAAATGTGGTGAAACACAGTCTTTCGTGTTTGATATATTACATCTGAAACAGATGCCAACTCCTAGCAGACATGCACGAGGAAGGAGAGGAGTCATTACAAGTTCCACTTGAAGAAACACCTAGAGCAGAGGCAGTGGAGAGCTCATGGCGACTGATCAGGGACTTTGGAAGGGGGCATGCGAAGAAACATTAGGTCACAAAACAAGACAACACAAAGAGTGGGTCAGCTTGGAGATGGCAAAGAAAATCATGACGAGAAAAGAACAGAAGAAGAGGTTAAACAAAGCAGAACCTGGTAGGCCAAGAAGGAGGCACAGATAGAATATGCAGGAATTCATAAAGAGGTTAAAAAGAGCATCAGACAAGACAAAAGAAGATAAACTGACAACCTAACACAACAAGCACAAGAAACAGCTGGAAAAAGAAATATGAAAGACGTGTATGAAATCACCAGACGGCTGACAGGAAAGCCAAAGGTAGCAAACAGACCAGTGAGGGGCAAAAATGAGAGTGCATACAAACCAAAGTGACCAATTAAAGAGATGGGCTATGCATTTCTGAGAGCTGCTCAATCGACCACCACCAGCAGAGCCAGCCAAGATTAAACCAGCCAAAAACCCATTGGAGATGAACACAAGCAAACCAATAAGGCCAAGCATTTTTTGGGGGAGGGCTAAGCATTTTGGAGAGCTGCTCAATCGACCACCAGCGGCAGAGCCAGCCGAGATTGAACCAACCGAAAACCCATTGGAGATGGACCCAAGCAAACCAACAAGACCAGACATCAAAAAGGCAATAACACATATGAAAGGCGGTTAGGCTCCTGGACCTAAAGGAATACCTCCAGAAGCCATCAAAGCAGACCTGGACACTTCGGCAGAAATGTTTTACACTATCTTTGAGAAAATCTGCAAGACAGAAGAACTGCCCAATGAATGAAAGCAGCGTCACCTAATCAGGCTGTCAAAGAAAGGAGACCTAAAGGAGTGCAAAAACTGGTGCTGAATTATGCTGTTGTACTAAACAGGGTGATATTGGAATGGATGAAGAACAAGCTAGACAAAAGACTCTGAGATTAACAGGCTGGCTTCCGGGTCCTGCACAGACAATATTGTAACATTAATAATAATAACAGAACAATAACTGGAATGGAACTCCTCTCTGTACTTAACATTCATAGACTACGAGAAAGCAGTCTTCATTCCAAGATATCAATGTCTTGTTGTCTCTGTAAAAAATGTATTCACACGCGATTTCTAGTCCATATCTGGCTCTTCTATGGAATGTTACCTCTTCCGCACCCGATCAAGTTTGCACCCACTGAGTTCACACTCCTGTTGATGTGGGTACAAACTTGGTGGGTGCGAACACACTTGGGGGCAAAACCTCCAGCTACCCATCTACATAATGACACATTTGCGAGCCATGATCATACTTCGGAAAGCTCATTATTTTTGTGGCTACTAAAAGTTATTACATGGGTTTAGATGGGCAATGGCGCATGGGGTACGTCTCTGCAGTTACAATATATGCTACTGAGGCAAAATTTTGACCAAAAATGGTCTAAGCTCTTGTAAGCGACCACCTCCTGTAAATGATCACCTCCTGTAAGCGACCACCTAGGCTTGACACTTTGGGTGGTTACTTACAGGAGGTTTGACTGTATTTATTATATGGCAAGGAAGTCTTGGTGTAACTTGGTCGGGATTTTACCGCACGGACAAAACAGTCATAGGATATTTTTTTATCACAAAAGCATGGCCGAGTGCCACGTAACAAAATTAATCACTTAACTAACCTCCTCAAGCCCTACTAAGGAATATTGACCCCCTGTTGCAGTGTTGGAAACTAAATTTTATCTGCACTCGCCATTTGGCAAGTGACCCCCAAATTGCACTAGCCCAGTGTAATTTTCACCCACCCAGAAAGATGCCTCCCCTCCCCCAAAGAATGTCTGCAATGATTCACAAACCAAACATTTTTGGGGTATCTCGTAATCATGGATGACCAGCTCACCCAGCTTTGGTCCTATCATTAAGTGGTACAGTTAAATAACTTTTTGTTTTCTTTCATTCTTTTTTTACCATTCAGTTAACTATTTGTTGGTATCTATTTTTGCGCGTGTGTGAGCACATGTTTTTTTTCCTCTTTGATTATGCATGTTGCAACCAAGGTAAAGCATATTAATTTTTTTTCGATCTACTTATCTTGTTTAGTTTTCTTAAGTACTATTCTGAGTAGTTCTTTTACCATATTATCATGAAAAATCCTTAATTTAACGACTTGCCAGATTTAAAGTCACTTAAAAACATTCATGATCACCAAAATAAGTCTTAACCCATTGACTCCTGTGCCGTCCGTAAATGCCCATGCAAAAAACCCCTCCAATTTCCTGTGCCGCCCATAACCGCCCGTAAAAAAGCACGTGGGGACAATAGCCTTTCCTACCCTCCCTGAAGACTTTTTGATTCTCTTATTGTTCTATTGTTCTTCAGGACAAATAAACCAATCAGAATTGACTTACTAAGCATATTTTTAGAGGACTTTAGGGGTCCCAGAAAGACAGTTTTTCTTCTTAAAATCATGCGCTCATAAAGTGCAGGTTATCATGGCACGCTGCGGGCCAAATCTGCAAACTTCAAAGGTCTTGTTTTCATTCCTAACACAGAGAAATTACTGCTTTGGGATTTAAAATAGAAAAGAAAAAAAAATTAATGTTTAGGTGGCCTCAGAATGGAAGATCGAGGTGTACAGAGTCCTCAAACCTTTCTGGCATAGAATTTTTCCTTCCTTCAACTGCCACGAAAACATGACAATCGGTGCACTTTCAAGTGAGTTTTGTATACAGATCACGGACTTAAAGCAGCTTCCTGGACTTTAGAAACAAAAATGGTAAAGTACATTATTGCTTCAAAGTTGAATGCAACTTTTGGAATGATTGGTAACGCCATGGCCGATAAAATGACTGCAAAAGTGATTGGGAGAAACACAGAGCTTTCGCTTTGGCGTGAAGAATTAATTTGAACATGCAGTCATGCAGTGAAGGACGTCTGCGAAATTTTGATTATTTTTTTGCTTTTAAATAGGTTTCTTTGCCTTGGCTTGAATGAAAATTTATTGTTATTGAACTTCCTTTTGCATTTGTTTCATTTGGTGCCCTGTTTTGGGGAATTTTAGGTTCTAAAAGTGAACAGTATTTTTGCACGCTGGATTTCTGCATNCCCACAGAAACGCTTGCTACGCAGGCTACTCTGAAGATGACTTGCGCTCAGGTTGTCGAAACGTCAGTCACCAACAACAGTTCTTTTCAGAACTACTCTCACCAGGACGATCACACCATACAAACTATTATTAAGCATGTTTTGCAAAGGGATATTTTTCTGCAGTAACAATCTCAATCAACCAAAAATAGAATGTTAAAATAAGGTCACCTCCTTCACCACAGCACTGAGTGGTACATAGAAGAGCTGAGTGCCTAGCCGAATGACCAGTATTTTTTTCAGTTGCCCAAGACAAAATGTTGGTCGCCGCTAGAGCATACCCTTACAGATAATCAACTGAAAGCTAATTAGCAGAGCATAATCTGATCCCCCACTACAACCTGTAACTTGCTACCACAATTCATGAGTTAAAATGACAAATGCCAGCAGGACAGGGTGAAGGGACCTGGAATTGACAGAGGTTACACCTAAGTCTCACACATAATAAGTGTGTGCCTGGGCAACGAGTCTTATAAAGCTGAGTTGTCTTAAACCTCTAGCCTTAGCCTCATAGTCTAGCCTTCTGGGTGGAGCCTCCCTATATATTCCACTATAGGAAGAGCCCCTTCCCCATCCAACAGCTGGAGACTCAGGATAGCGGTCAGAACAGGAGCTTTCGAGAACACACTTGAACTACACTGTACCATCTACCTCCTATATATGAACTTGAGCCTTTAAACAGTGTCAGCTTAATATTTCTTACCTCTTGAAGAACTGATTTTCTTTGCGACATCAGTGGACCAGTGAATAGATCAGAAATCTCAGCCAGATCCAACACATGCTCGCCAATAGCAACACCTATGCGATGTCTTGGCTGTGGATCACAAAATAATCTCCAGTTCCAGTTACAGTGGAACCCCGCCTTACGACCACCCTGTTAATACCGTCGCTTTGTTATTGCGGCCACATTATTCTGGCCCGAAAAAAAGCTCAGTCAGTCATTTTCTTATTTAAAGAACCCCTTTAATACGGCTACCCTAGTGACCGGATTGTCGGGGTTCCAATGTAGTAAGAAATAAATGAAAACTTCTGAAATATGCAAGCTTACTCACATTATCAGACGTGGAAAATACTCCATACGGAAGATTTTCAACAGGAAAGTGGTTCTCGGGAGAAACTGTAATGAAGGACATCTCAGTGTAACGACTACTAAAACGAGACAACCGAGCTAACAAGAAAACCACGTTGAAATTTCGTTGAAGCACCTAACAAAGAGCGGGCCCTGGGTATCAAGCATCTTTTCGCCATTTCCCTCTCCTCCCCTGGAACAATTTTGTATAGACAAAACGAGATTCTACTTCTTTAAATGTGATCGTAAATAAGGAAACAACTTAGCTGTAACACAGGATTTTTTTTTACTGCTACTCCTGTTTACTTTCTTGTGCGGGAAAAAGCGAAAAATATGCGTATTTTTGTGCGTTTACATTTCACTTTCGCTCTTTGTCTTTGCGCTGGTCACGTGATCACCCTGTCTGGAGTCGGCGTCTGTCGTGCGATCTTTTTGCGTGTCTGAATTCGCTCGAAGATGAACAGAATAGTCTTGATGTTCATATTTCTTACTCTTGTGACTGTCTTGGGTATTGGTAAGTTTATAACAAAGTCATTGACTTGTTTCTTTGCTCTTTTTTTTACTTTAAACGATTCAACTGCAATAGGGAAACACCAAAAACAGACGAGACACAATGGCCGTCTGAAGTTGTCCAGTCGGTCCATGTTAACAAATGCAAAATAAAACTTATGGGGTAAACTTCTCAAGCCAACGTTGAAAAAAATTGTTTGATAGATTACTGTTGTAGGTCAGGAGTATTTGCTTGTTGGTAGTTATGTCTGACTATAAAATATAAGCTTTAGCGTGTTGGTGCGAATGCCCTGGCATCGATAATAGCTAAGCTGTAACTTAATTTGTGATAAGCTAAATGTTTTGGATTCTATTCTGGTTTTGCCTGCCATTTCTAGTTTGATATGTTCTTCGGACGTGAAGAACACTAGAAGTAGATCAGTGCTTTAAATATATAATTTTAATTTTCTACAGTTTTATTACGCACAAAATTTCATGCTTAATCTTTGCCATAATAATGAGGCCCTGTTAGGGGGGGTACCGATGTCCGCCGTCTGAAATTCGTCACCAGCCATGTCGGCATTTCGCAAGATTCCTACGTCGCCTGTCGGAATTTCGTCTCAGAGGAATTGTGTCGAGAAATTTGACCTTGTTCGATTAAAACGAAGCTACACGTATAACACATTGTAATACCTTTGTTTATTAAAAGAAAAAAACTGCCACAGTATTCTCAAGTCTCACGCATTGAGCATGCGGCTCACACAAACGAATTCAATCTTGCGTTCTCATGCTGAAACTATTATTTCTCACGCATTGAAGGTTCCTTGCTGTTTTAGTCAAGTACATAAAATTATAATTAAGTATCTCTTTGGATATAATTTACTCCTTGTATGCTTTGCACTTGCTTTGAACACTTTTCAGCAGTACGAATTCTTATGCAGAGCCAGCATTTCTCTGGTCAGTGGGTTTAATGATTACTTTATGGTTATTTTTAAAGGGTCACATTTTGACTCAGAATGAAGGAATGAAGGAAAAGCTACATGTACTTCAATTTTTCAANCCTTCGATTTGCTTTATGACTACGCTTGCTATGGTTGATGACTTGACTCGAATATCGCTACATGATAAAATTGTCCCTTTTAATTAATGTAAGTCACCTGACCTATTTTTCCAACCTCGCGTAGTTGAGGAGATTGCACAATTACTGGCGATAATGAATTCTAAGTAGTAGTCTAATTCTTTGTTACATGTGACTGAACATGCAAATCACTATTATCGATTAGTAGAATTCTACTAGTATATCAATACAAATGCTGCAGTCTGATTGGCTGAGCTACTCATATACTATCAGGCATTAGTGTGCAGTTGCTGGAAGTTATCTTCAAAATAGTGACAATTTGTTTTTGTTTTTGCAGAGTTATGGAAGAACATTTAGATATAAAGGGATAATTAAATTCCTGAGAAGACTAAAAGAAGGACATTCCCAGTTTCATGACTTTAAAAAAAAACTAGAAAATGTTGAAAACAGATGAGTGTTCATACACAGCAGGAAATTCCAAACATCATTTCAGTGTACATGATTTTTCTAAAGGTCTAATAATGTTAAATACAATGTACAAAAACAATTGGAATGGTTAGCTGAAGAAAATTTAAGTAAGAATTCTACTAAAACTGTCAGATTCTTTGCTCTTGATTTCCATGCTGAAGGTGATTTCACCTCTCTCATAGAACTCTTTAGCTCCGAATGTAATAGCTAATTATCTCATTGCATGCTCTCAAAAGTTTTCCCCTCTGATTTGTCAAACTGTCCTCTGGGAAAGGTGGGAAAAAGCATTTCCAAGCCCCTAAAAATAAAAATTTTCTCAGGGGTGGGGCATGTCCCCAACTCCCCCCTGTGGCTTGCACCTTCCACTTTTGATTACAAAATATTTTCTGCCTCACAGAAAGTACATGCCACACCCCAACTATCATTGTGGTATGAGATGAAAAAGTCGTAAGGAATGAGTTTTATTTGGCACAGTTTTAGTATACTGGCAACTCTGAAGACATAGGGTATGTTCCCTGGTCCACGGTCAGTTTCGCTGGTATCGTGCTTGATCTACATGTACGTCTGTAATGGATAAATTTCTAATAATATACAGGGTTTTAAAACTGAATTTGTGCCCTAATGATTTGCTTCTTTCTTTAAAGATTTGCGCTGCACGCCATGGACCATAAATAATACTTTAAATTAAGGAAATTTACTAAAACAGCATGTGTTTGTCCCAATTAGCTGAAAGCAAGCGGGAATTGGTGTGTAGATGTGACACCTTACGCTGTGAGAGTATGAACTACACATGCATCACTGATGGAGCCTGTGTGGTATATATTGATCGATATGGTACTGGTGAGATTCAAGTCAGGGGTTGCACCACTGAGGACCCTGCACCTAGAATGATTTGTGATAGCCATGATGGAAAGCCTGATGACAGGCGTGACTCCTATGACTACCATGCACACTGTTGTTACAAGAACATGTGCAATGATGTAACCAAAATAAATCTCACTTTACCAACTGTGAATCCATCTACATCTGGGACAGACAAAGGTAACTTCACTGGAAATGTTTTGTTGGTTTAATTAATTTGTTATACAGGGCTCAAAGTTATTTTTGGCTTTGGGAGCACTTGTACTACCAAGTGTAAATTTTGTGGTGCACTGCCAAAATTTTGGTGCACAACTAAAAACACTGGAGGCACAGCATAAAATACTGGAACATGGCTCAAAGACAATGACCAACTGGTCGCTTATGCAACAACAGGGTTTGATAAATATGAGGCCCATACGTCTGCTAGGTCATATCATTTGACTGACAGTTTATTTTGCATAATAAATTGATCTCTATTTGAGGTTTATTTTTACTTATCATATTTGAAGCATTTTGAAGGGCATTAAATATCTTTTTGTGGACATGTATCTCTGTTTCTCTATTTCAGTTGTCATTTTACATTGCCTTGTGACTTTTATATCCAGTACTTTTCGATGGTTTTCGCTTATATAGACATTGTCAACTAAAAATGCTCAAGCCCTGAAAGCAATCTAATTATATAAAATCAGAAGGCTTTTTAAGTCAACTGACCATGTTACTTTATCTAATTAATCAATACTTTTAAATGCTGGATGGGTTTTTCTGCTGGACTCGCATTGTTTGATTTGAGAGACACATGATAAATTGCAGTTCTAAAACCTAGTTTACATGGCAATTTGACATTTTGATCAGTTTTGGAGGGCTGGTTTATCAGTGGGATAATTCAAAACCAACACAGAACCAACCTGTCAGCTAATGCAACTTACAACAGTTTGTTGGCTGACTTTTAGTTATCTGTCAATGGACTGTCAATTGGCAAGTTGACCAGTGCATGCTCCAACTTGTCTTGAATTGGGATCATTTTTGTTACCTTTACAACAAATATCCATCCCTTACTTCAGTCCTGGTGGGATCAGCTCTTCAGAGAGCACCGTGTCTGTTTATTTTCTTTATTTACACACCTGTTTAGCAATCACAATAAATTGGACACTTAGTAGTTTGTGGTTGTAGCATTTTCTGTCCTTACTTTGTTTCTTTTTGTGCCAGCATCACTCCATTTTCATTCTTTTTTGTTGTTGTTGTTGTGTTGTGTTTTTCTTTTTTTTCCACTTTTAGATTCTAATGATCAAGGTGGTGGCGAACTGAGCACAATAGGTGTAGCAGCAGCTATTGCTGGTCCAATGTGTTTTATTTGTGGCCTGATCATGTTGTTCATTTGTTGGCACCAAAAGAGACAACTAAAAAAACAAGAGCATTTTAATGAGGCTGAAGCAGCACTGAAACCATTGGAAGTGGATGAAGCAGTAATCCCATCTGGACAAACCCTGAAGGAGTTAATGGATATGTCAACGGGTAAGAACAGTCAATGTAAGACTGCAGGATTTGAAAGTTCAAACATACCTGTTCCCCTGGCACCCTGCTAATAAATTATGGTTCATTCATTTTTACAGCAACTTTTTGCCTCAACAAATGGCCCTTTTTTGTGTTACTACAGTACTGTTCATATGTTACACAATACCTACTGTGTAAAATACATTTATTTAATTCTGGATTTTCAAAAGTAGCCAGCTGCTGGCAGAAATCACCATCTATGCCATGATTTTGGCTGGCTATAATTATTTTGCTGGATTAAAGTACTGCTCAAAAGTAAGTTACCACCGTCTCGCGAGACAAGACAATCGTATTGCAAGATGAGACATTTGTGACCTTCCACGGGAAAACGTACATTAACGCTTTTCCGTTTAATGGTTCAAAGCATTTGTTAGTCATTTGTTTACTGTTAAAACAGTTTAGAAAATCGTTAGAAGCATTAGAATGTCCATTAAAATTTTCACTCTAGTTGTTTATAGTGTTGGAAAAGACGTTAAAAGCGTTTTCACCGTCCGTTAAAAGCATTAGTAAAAACCGTTCAAATTTCCCTTCAATGGCGTTAAAAGATCTTGAGAGCATTCGAAAACTTGTTTAATCAAAACGTGGACTGTTTAAGTTAAACACTTAACTGGTTAAGTGTTGAATTAAACTTAAAACATTGTGAGTAAGCTATGTTTTTCATTCATGGGGTGTAGTTTATCTACAAGGCGAGACGTGAAATATCTGATCTTTCGAAAGAAAAGTTTCTATAAAATTAATAATGTGCAATTTGGAGTTTCAACAGATTCCGAGCAAGCAAACAAGCAGACAGCACTTTATGAATTGTTTTTAGCATTCAGATCCAGTTTATTTTTGATGAATAATTGAAGGGGTGAGTGCAAAACCATGCTAAGTGACAATTTGGGTGAAAAAAAAATTTTCGCGAAGGGGCTTGAATATTTGCATGTGGTCTTCAATGTAATGGAAAAATGTGGTCCTGTATTTTTCCTGCTGGTTTTTCCTTTGTTTATGAAGACGCCGCTAGGAAAACCGAGTGGTTTTTTTGCATACGCAATATCTCGAAAATGAAGCGAAGCTTAGCGGAAAAACTACAGGACATTGCTAAACATACCTAAACAAAACTGCATGCAAAATTTGGAGCGTTTTCAACAAAGTTCACTTTTGTTTAAAATACCTAACGCCCTTTTCCTGCCGAGGCCTTCAAATAAACTTAGCCAGGCCTTTGAAATGATAAACAGAGCCAATCTTTTGTTATTATAGCCAAGCCAAGCCTTTGTTATAAGTCGAAGTCTCGCCTCGGTTTATCATAACAAAGGATCGGCCCGCCGCGACCGCA